CCCGTGCGGCGGTCGGGACCCGCGGGGGGGCGCCCTTCGAGGGTCTCGTGAAGCTCTTGATCCTCAAAACGAGTAATTTGTTTTCATTTGGATTCAAGGGGTGCTTGTGCAGGTTTGCCACCTGGGTACCCTGCGTGAGCACATGTGAGCTGTGGCCTTCTACTGAACCTGTCACCCAGCTGGTGGACATGGTACCCAGTGGGCGGTTTTCCAGCCCTCACCCCTCCCTCCCTCCCTCCGCCCTCGGAGTCCCCAGTGTGTGTTGTTCCATTCTTCTGCCCGTGTGTGCCCAGTGTTTAGCTCCTACGTACAGGTGAGAACATGAGGTATTTGGCTTTCTGTTTGTGCATTAATCCGCTGAGAATAATGGCCTCCAGCTGCATCCATGTCACTAAAAAGGACATGATTTTGTTCTTTTGACTATGTAGTATTTCATGGTATATCTGTACCACATTTTCTTTATCCAATCCGCTGCTGATGTGCACCTAGGTTAGTTCCATGTTTTTGCTATTGGGCCAGTTTGCTCTGTAAGGTCAGTGACCCAAGTGACCCAAGTTAGAAGATAACTTCCTGGACAGCTATTCTAAAAACCTTTGATTAATTGGGGGAGTCTGGTCACCAACTCAAAGTGCATGTGTTAGTGGTATTCCAGCCCCAGTGCTCCTGCAGTTTTATTGATGCAAAACCCTAATAGAACGTGGTACACCTTTAAAGTCGACCTAGTTTTTAGTACCAACTCTGCCACATATCTTCTCAGGTAAACGACCTAATCTTTCAGGGGCTTAGTTTCTTTACAGTATAGAAATGATAATAGTTATGATGATGGTTGACGTTAATTGAGCACTGGCTGTAAATCAGATAGTTCCAAATCCTTTATGTGCATTTACATCTAGTCTGTAGAATCCCCCCATGAGGTCGACAGAATTGTATGAGAAGCAAATGAATTTGTAGAAGCGCTTGAAAAATGAAAATGACTTTTCAATGGAGGCTATTCTTATCAGATAAATCATCCTGTAGCAGAAAAGAAATATCAGATTTCAATAACTGGGATGAAGGATACAACTGAGTAACTAGAGTCAGAGTTTTGAAATCTTTGGATACAGCATGACTTTGGAGAGGGGAATTCTTCCCCAGTTTTATCAAAAGCTTAGGACTAATGTTGGGAAAGAGATAGTGCTGAAGAAATATTAACATCATTATGAGTTGGACAGTTTATGTATTGCTGAATACATTTTTATGTAGAAAGAATATTTTCCCCTACATTTCTGTGCTGTAAGATTATTTCTCTCCATTTTTTTTTTTTTTTTGAGTTGGAGTCTCACTGGGCTCCGGCGATCCTTCTGCCTCAGCCTTCCAAGTAGCCGGAATTATAGGCATGCGCTTCCACGCCTGGCTAATTTTTTGATTTATTGTAGAGATGAATCAGGCGGGTCTCGAACCCGCGGGCACAGGCAATCCACTCACCTCAACCTCCCAAAAGCACGGGATTACAGGCTGAGACACCGAGCCCGGCTCATTACTTTTTCTTTTCTTTTTTTTTTTTTTTGTTTGAGCAGAGTCTCACTCCATCGCCCAGGCTGGAGTACACTGGCATGCTCGCAGCCACCCCAGCGTCGACCTGCTGGGCTCAGGCGATCCTTCTGTCTCAGCCTTCCAAGTAGCCAGAACTTCAGGCACACACTACCATGCCCGGTTAATTTTTTGATTTATTGTAAAGATGAGGTCTCGCCAAGTTGTCCAAGCTGTTCTTGAACCTGTGGGCTCAGGCAATCCCCTCACCTCGGCCTCCCAAAGTGCTGGGATTACAGACTTGCACCTCCATGCCCAGCCTCTTTCTCTCCATTTCTTATGAACTTAAATGTCCTTTCTGTGATCAGGCTTGAATAGCAGGCTGTGACATTTTAATACTTCTAAAATTCAAATGAACACATGTTACATGATTTGGAGTGGAAATGGCATAAGTTGAAGTAAAGCCTATTTTATTTTTAATTGCATTTAATTACACAGTGAGCAGTGATGAACTAAAATAATTTTTTGTTAAGGTAGATTTGGAACATTTGGGTAATATGTATTAAGATCTCATCACTTGTCTTCCAATGTAAAAAAGTTCATATCAATGGCATGGATTAAGGATGCAGACCTTGGAGTTAAAAAATCCCTGGGCTCAAAGAATATCTCTATCTTATTAGCTATGTGAACTTGAGCAAATTATTCAGCTCTGCTTTACCTGAGTTTCATCTGTAAAATATGAAACTATCTGACAGAGGCAACTTTACTTATTTTCCTTTTTTTCCTCTTTGTGTTGTTCATCTGGACTGATGCTAGGGGATAGTGGTGACCAAAAGTAGAAGAAACACACTTTCTTTTACTTTTGAAGGATAATTTTCCAAAGTACAGAATTCTAGATCGGTAGTTTTTTGCTCTTGATACCTTAAGTATTTCGCTTCACTCTCTTCTTGTTTGCATTGTTTCTGAGACATTGGATGTTATTCCTAGCTTTGTCCCTCTATAGGTAAGTTTCTCACCAATAAGTATGGTGTTTTCTGTAGGTTTTTTTTTTAGATGTTCCTTAGTAAGTGAGGATGTTCCAAGTTTACTGAGGGTTTTTATCATGAATGGGTGTTGCATTTTGTCAAATACTTTTTCTGCATCTGTTGATGTGATCATGTGATGTTTCTTCTTTAGCCTACAGGCATGGTAGATTTGTATGAATTGATTTTCAAATGTCGAACCAGCCTTGCATACCTGGGATAAATCTTGGTTGTGGTGTACAATTCTTTTTATGTATTGTTGGATTCCATTTGCTAATTTTTTTTGAGGGTTGTTACATATTTGCTTATGAGATATATTGGTATGTAGTAGTTTTATTTGCTTGTAAGTTTTTTAAATCTAGTTTTGGTAATAAGAAAATGAATGCTGTGAGGAAGGACTCCCTCTGCTTCTATCTTCTGGAATAGATTTTAGAGAGTAGGCCTAACATTGATATCTGCCATTAATCTGGGGGAAGTTCTCAGTCATCATTACTTCAAATATTTATTGTTTCTTTCTTTTCCTTCTGGTATTTCTATTACATATATGTTATACTTTTGTAGTTGTCCCACAGTTCTTTGATATTATGTTCCTTTTTTTCTTGGTCTTTTTTTCTCTTTGCTTTTCAGTTTTGACAGTTTCTGCTGAAATATCCTCAAGCTCAGAGTTTCTTTCCTCATCTATGTTCTGTCTATTAATGATTCTATCAAAGTCGTTCTTTATTTCTGTCACAGTATTTTTTATCTCTAGCAATTCTTATCTGTTCGTCCTTAAAATTTACATCTCTCTGCTCACATTATCATCCATTCTTGCACATTATCTACTTTTTCCCTTACAGCCCTTAGCATATTAATCATAGTTATTTTAAGTTCCTGGCCTGATAATTCTAACACCTCTTTCATATCTGAGTTTGGGTCTTGTTCTGTCTCTTCAAATTGCTTTTGCTTAATAATGTGTCTCGTAATTTTCTGTTGAAAGCTGGACGTGATATACTGAGTAAAAGATACTAGGGTAAATGGTGCTTTAGTGATGTGGTGGGAAGAGAAGCATTCGACAGACCTATGATTAGCTTTCAGTCTTAGTAAGCCTG